TTATGAGAAAGATTCTCCTTGCAGCGTTGAGTCCGTTGAGAGAAGTTCAATGTTTTTTACTTACGTAATATGAAAAATTTGTCAACACTGAAACGTCAAATGATTCGTGAAATAACGAACGGGAATTTCAGGAATTGTATACACCCTACGTTTATGGGGAATTCTGAAGTAAATGGATGTAAATGACCTTCCCGATTTTGTTTCCTCAGTATGCGAAAAGTTCGATAGATTCCTCCAGTGCCTGTACATGGCAGACTGAAATTTTTCCACCAGCTCTGCAAGATTATATAGAAAATGCAATAATAATGTATTTGACCACTCTGTGAGTTATATAGAAATATTTTCAACAATTAACTTGAGTTTACTCTTGAAATATGAGCACAGTGCAGAGCCTTTATCAGTATTAGGTTAATACTTGATGATGTTGTCCTGGAGATGTTTAACCTTACAAGTGCAATCATAGCATAACTCTGACTATTAGCAATATGGTGGATTAGTTACCTTTCTTAGATTATGTCCAAGTAAGTTACCGTGATTAATGATGAGAAATTTGATTATCAGCCTGTGCACCAATTTCTTGACTCTCTCTGTTGAGCAATTGAATTGTGGTAGAGCAGTAAGTTTTGCAGCATACATGTAACTGCCATAGCTTGTTAATCACATTTACCATCTGTCGAATCTGCTTGGCACTCCTACTGAATTTTGCGTGGCACTCCATTTCCATTTTGCATGAGTGTTTTTTGTTAAGTTATAGATCTTCTCATGGAAACAAGGTGATCAATTGCTTTATTGTTTATTATGTAAATAGGTGAAGTATGTAAACCCAGAATATCCAGCAGGAAATGAAAGCCTTTGAATATAACTATCTAAAAGTGGTCCTCGAGGCAAATGTTTTGTCGGCATTTCTCCAACAACTTGTGCACCACAGCGTTCCTGGTTGATAACAAGCCTCACTTTTTCCAGCCTTGTCAAATAGTTTGTACAGTCTCGTGCGAATAGGTGTATCACTTAGAGGGGAAGAATGTGAAGGTAGTAGGCACGACCAGATGTTGCTTCTTTTTCGAATTGCTGATATTGGCATTCAGACAACATTTCCTGGTTCCACCTCTGCCACTTGAGTTATTTCAGTGTTGAAGGCAATTATGCTTCCTTTATATGAAGAGCTATGGCGTGTTTATCCTCTCAAACAGCAAACCTTTTGGCCGGGCAGTTTGCCGTACGAGGAGGCGATAAAAACGAGTGCTATAACAATACGGAGGGCTACGAAGTTCATTGCCGTGTTACGACCGCTCCACGTCAATACTAAAATTCACACCTGTGCGCTCAATATTTTTTTTGTTGGGAAAGATATATTGCAGAGTAGGTTCGAAGGAAACTTTCTTGAAAGTGGGAACCTTATCTGTTAAGGCTAGGGCTTATCCCCGCCAAATAAAAACAAACAGTGAATTTTTAAAATGCCGCCATATCGCCGCTATAGTGTTACTATGGAAATATTGTCATTCCCATTCCTTTTCGCGCGTAAATTTTCGCACACATTTCAAACATGCGCACGTATGTATGGGGCTGTAGATTCCATTACAGAGAGACATCATGGTCACGAAAGTAAAGGTAAAGTTTGGCAATATTGATTTTGCCGTGTTTGGAATTATGTTAATCCTGTCGACCGCTATTGGAATATACCATGCCTTAACCGGAGGAAAGCAGCGAACAACGAAGGAATTTCTCTTCGCGAACCGTGGGATGATGGCGATACCTGTCGCGTTATCTTTGATCGCATCATTCATGTCCGCTATCACAATTCTTGGTGTACCTGCAGAGATTTACATCTATGGTACACAGTACTGGCTTATCATTGCCTCCTACGTGATTCTCTTTCCATCCGTGGCACTGGTTTTCGTTCCCGTTTTCCGCGCTGTAGATATCTCGAGTTCATACGAGGTAAGCTGATCATATGACAAAAGTACTGATTCAATGATTAAGCTCGTGTTGTTTTGTTTGTATCAATAAGTATATTGTGAAGGTGCCTTTTAAGTCATTGTGTTCTAATTCTTACTTTTTCTTTTAATAGTCCTTTGGTTGAAAAAGTTTGACAGTGTTTTAATAAGTTCACAGTTTCTACAAACTTATAAAATCCACGTGGTGTATTGATTATTTGTAACCACGTGTTTTATATTGGTCGTGGATCAAAGTCTGCCTGTAAAATAAAATCGGGAAAATAGAAAAAATAAGAGATGGAACTGTACCAAGTGGAGGTCGATAGTGATTTAACATAAAAACCAAAGCCTTTTTTTTTCCCATTCGATCTATGACTTATCTTCATAAGGCCCGGTTCAGACTCCGTACTTCTGCCGCGTCGAATCGAATTCAACGAAAGGCCGACTCAAATTAGTTAACAGGTAATTTAGTGCTAACAACTGATTCGAAAACGTGATTAAGCCTCCGTAAAGAGTGTAAAGGCTGACGTTTCACCTGACGAAGGGCTAACGCCCAAAACGTCAGC